GTACTCATCTTTATTGCCATATTCCCAGTCTATATTTCTGAGATGAGGTATTGTAACTATTTACACTATTTACATTGTTTGGACTGTTGTCATCTTTATTGCCATATTCCCAGTCTATATTTCTCAGATTATTGTAATTATTTACATATTTCATTGTTTGGACTGTTGTCCTCATCTTTATTGACATATTCACAGTCTATATTTCTGAGATGAGGTATATTTACACTATTTACATTGTTTTGGACTGTTGTACTCAGCCATATTCCCAGTCTATATTTCTCAGATGAGGTATTGTAATTATTTACACTATTTACATTGTTCAGACTGTTGTCCTCATTTTTATTGACATATTCACAGTCTATATTTCTCAGATGAGGTATTGTAATTATTTACACTATTTATATTGTTTGGACTGTTGTCCTCATCTTTATTGACATATTCACAGTCTATATTTCTGAGATGAGGTATTGTAACTATTTACACTATTTACATTGTTTGGACTGTTGTATTCCCAGTCTATATTTCTCAGATGAGGTAACTATTTACACTATTTACATTGTTTAACTGTTGTTCATCTTTATTGCCATATTCACAGTCTATATTTACATTGTAATTATTTACACTATTTTTGGACTGTTGTCCTCATCTTTATTGACATATATTCACAGTCTATATTTCTGAGATGAGGTATTGTAACTATTTACACTATTTGACTGTTGGACATATTGTCTATATTTCTGAGATGAGGTATTGTAACTATTTACACTATTTACATTGTTTGGACTTTGTTGCCATATTCCCAGTCTATATTTCTCAGATTATTGCTATTTACATATTCACAGTCTATATTTCTGAGATGAGGTATTGTAACTATTTACACTATTTACATTGTTTGGACTGTTGTACTCATCTTTATTGCCATATTCCCAGTCTATATTTCTCAGATGAGGTATTGTAATTATTTACACTATTTACATTGTTCAGACTGTTGTCCTCATTTTTATTGACATATTCACAGTCTATATTTCTCAGATGAGGTATTGTAATTATTTACACTATTTATATTGTTTGGACTGTTGTCCTCATCTTTATTGCCATATTTGCAATGTTTTGGCCGTTGTACACTCAGGCTTTCTTCAGGAGATATTTTTTTGAATTTCTAACCAAACCCTTTATTTAGTAAATGGGTGTATATTGTGCTAATTCTATATGCCATGTCTTCAAATATCTCAGTTTTATTTAATTCCCCTTGATAGCTCAACTCTCCAAGTTTTGGTTCACTCTGCTATGAGATTTAACTCACAACTCTTTGAGTTAAGTCACTTTTGGGTCAATTAACCAATGCTTTCATCAACTGGGCCTTTTATTCAAGGTTTGAATCTCCAACAAATATTACCTGAAGAAGGCGAGAGTGCACAATGACCAAAATGTTGTGAATATATCAATAAAGATGAGGACAACAGTCTGAACAATGTAAATAGTGTAAATAGTTATAATACCTCATCTCAGAAATATATACAGATGAGAAAAATACATTTTTGACAAAACTTCAAAAGTGGTTTCATTACAAATGATGTGCAACAATTCAATTGGCAGAATGGTCCTCTAAAAGCAAAGTTAGCTAACCTAGTCACTGGTTGACTGCTGCCACCTTCAAAGTTCTAGTCTTTTGAAGCTATGCACTTTGTGAGATGATGGTGCCATTGCTGGAAATATTCTTGGAACTTATTTTCCAGAATATCTTTCAACAATATAGTCATGTGTTGGTGGATGTCATAGATATCAGCAAATCTTTGCCCTTTCAGGATATTAATTAATTTTGTTAATAGCCAAAAATTACTTTGTTAATTTCAACAAAGTTAACTAAAAAGTTAATTTTGGTGAAAAAGGAGAATGTAATAATCACACCATTGACATGCTACAGTCATTCCAGAAATTAAATACCACACCTTTAATAAGAGTAGATAGGTTCACCTATCATTTAGTTCACACTATTTCCCTATCTTTTAAACAGTAGTAGAGGATGCTCCCTTGTTTCCTGTAAAGGATTGGGTTTCCACCTTCTTCTAAAGTCTGCGTCAACTCTATATTTCTAACATCTCTGTTTAAAATCTAAAATTTTATTTACTATTTATTCATATATTTCCCTCAGTATGAGTAGATAGTTTCACTTACTGTCCAGTTCACACTCCTCCCCAGTCTTTTGAACAAAATTAGAGGATTATCCATTTCTTCCTGTTTAGGATTTGGTTTCTGATTCCTTCTAAATTTTTTTAATTCTCTTTCTCTTCCAGTAACCCCTTGCATCTTAGTAGCATTATCACCTTGCTTGGGGTGAATTGATTTTAAAAAATATGGTACTGATAACATTAGCCATTTCCTCATAAGGAAACATTCAGTATCCACTGATCAAGCAACTAGTACTAGTTTTAATTGAAAGTTTTAAAATTTTTCTATTAAAATAATTTTTCATGAAAATAAGTTTCTCAAGTCCACTGTTCTCACTCTTTCCAGTATTGATAGGGCTTCCTTCCTTTTTTACTTGAAGTTGCAGTGTGGAACATCAATATTTTGATTTTGCCATTATTTTCTCTTCAAGTTACCTGTGCTATACATTTTACCTGTTGCTGCTGTTGGAAGTCCTCAAGTGATATCATTTCTGTTATTTGGTACTGTTCTTTGTTTGTGATTCAATGGTGCCAGTCCACAAGGTTCAAAGAAGGATGGTCCTTGCTAAGATCTACAGGCTTCATTTGCTTGAAGCCATTTTTGATAATTGATCTTAGAAAGCAGTTGTATAGCATAGTATAGCTGGCCACTCATATTCGAGGATAGCAGTTTTCTATCCCTATTGCAGACGCTTGCTCAGACACATCTGTGTTTGCTCAACACCCACAGAGCCCACCTGTGGTTTATACTGCAACTATGCTGAGCAGACCTTAGTTACAGTTTCTGGGTGAAAAGTGTGTTATCTAGCATGATCATCAATTTGAACAAGGCCAGTACGCTCGGCCACGATGACTTGTGACTTTGTGCTAGCACAGCTATTGACAGCACCCAAGGGTTCTGTCTACCCATGCTAGAATTGACCCCTCCAGTCCAATAGCATCAGGAAGTCTCCTTCCTGACAAATCAACCATGGTGAGATTTGAACCCTGGTCTCATGGTCAAAATGCAAACTCGATGACATCCGCATAAGCAGTTGTATACAGCTGACAGATTAGATATTTCTGAACAGATTTGGCACAATCCATGATATCCATATGAAAGTCTTGTTCTGATGAGGCTATTTATGAACATAAGTTGAGCTTTATGTTCAGTGTCAATCACTATCTACTGTCCTCCTGATTCTTCTTCTTTTTTCCTTGCTCCTTAGCAATGTTTCTAACTCTTCCACACCTAGTAACCCTTTGCGACTCAGTGGCTTTATTGCCTTGCTTGGGATGGACTCGATTAAAAAAAAGAATATTTGAGTTTTGTAGCAATTTGTGATTTTGGATGAAAATACTCCAAACACAGCTTATTCTATGTTCAATTTCCTTATCTTCTAAATTTGTTATAACTAAATCAAAGTATCTGAAGTATTTGTCCATTGAATATAGCTGACATATCTGTTCTGGTGTCCCTGCAGTATATCTTGCAATTTTTAACAAAATTCAAAGGATGGTCTGTAATTTAATTATCCTGATCTGACATCTCAAATTCTGTCACTTTCTTACCGATGTGACATGGCATCCGTCTACCTTTTTCTACAAATATTTTCGTGGCAACAGTTCTGATGAGCTTTTATCCTTAATGCTTCAAGTGCATGAATTTAAGCATGCTACTAGATGTCTCACCATTTTAATGTTGAACTAGCTAAATGCAGCCTTTTATTCTAACATCTTCTTTTCTCACACTTCTCACCTGTGGAACTCTCTTCTGATTTTTTGTTTCCTTGCCACCTACATCTTTAAAAATGTGAATGCAATGGCAATCACTATTTTCTGTCTTCCTGAACCCTGTTCCTTTACTGTCCTTTCCTCACTTCTCACTAATGTTTTCTTATTCTGTTTTACTCTATGTAATCCCCCTGCACCATAGTGGCATTATTGCCTTGCTTGGGATAAAATGATTAAACAAAACATTACTCATTCTACTTCCTGAATTTTTATGATGGATTCAGTGTAGGTATCATCACTGCTTTCAATCCAATTCTGGGTCAGAATTTTTGTTTTGGAAACAGTTACCTTAAATCTTATTTCTTGGAACACTTGGTAAAGGATGTTCATTTTTTTGTTCAAGAACATTCTTATCCCAACTATGAATACCTACATTATTGATATAGCCCCCCACCCCTCATCCTCAGAAATCTGGCCTCAAGAGGGAAATGCTGTTTTTTATTAGTAGATTTGTTTAGGATATGGCATGGAATGTTTAAATGATGAGTGCCCATCTCTTCATATCTGTGCTTGTGTATGCACAAAGCATGGTCTAGGAAGGGATTAAATAGCTTAGGGATATTTTCTCTCTAACCATGGTCCTCCACAGCTTTCTAAATTTTGTTACTTTCAGCAATGCTTGCCCTTTTATAACTCATTTTGTCTTGTTCCTCCCTCCATTTTCTCAAACTTGTCAAAAGGTTACTTGCTATGATGTTTTTTTTTGTTCAACATTATTCTAATCCTAACTATAAATACCTGTATCAATATGGTAATTAAGAAAGAGTTGGAAACAGAATCTTAGAATGAGAGAGTAAAAGATTTTATTGAGTGATTTTTACAGCTTATCAACCTATTACAGGTTATTTAAAGCCAGAAAATATTTTTTGGAGATAAAGATGACTTAATGATACAAGCTCTACTAATTAACCCATAGGTGGGGGAAGAAGAGGTGGATTCATATCTTTCCTAAGGATATTTGCATGTAAGTGAATATAATGAACCCAACTGGAATTGGACCTCAGCTCCCTAGTTTCCAATTCCATGCAGTTATTGATTTCACTTCTAACACATCAAATCTTACAGCACCTGGTCTTCCCAAACACCTACCCATCCAGATACTAACCAGGCTCAACATTGTTTAACTTTGGTGGTCGTAGGAGAACTTATGTTTCAACATGATATTGCTGTAAGCCATACCACCCGCACATCCAAGTTTATAGAACTATCTATTCCCAAGTGGTTACCTATCTAGGTAGTGACCAGGTTCAAAGTTGCTTAACTTCAGTAATTATATGAGAACCAGTGTTGCAACATGATATGGATATAATCCCTTTATACCACCTGTACATCCTAGCTTACAGCATGTGGTATTCCTAAGCAGTCACCCATCCAGGTGCTGACCAGACTTAACTAATCATACAAGAACCAATGTTTCAACATGATATGGATGTAAGCCCTTCATACCAACTACACATCCAATGTTACACCACCTGGTATTTCCAAGTGTTAACTAATCTCATTATTGACCAGGTTCAATGTTGCTTAACTTCAGTGATCATATGAGAACCAGTGTATGGCTTGTAAGCTGATATTAAGAAAAGTAAGTAAGAGGGAAGAAAGAATAAATGTATGTCACTTATTTTTAGCTTTTATCTATTCACTGACCCAAATGATAAAATTTTGTTCTGCTAAGATAAGAATTGAGTTTTTATTACTCAAATTCTGTCCATGACAAAGCAAAATAGTTAACAGTTCTATAACTATCAATAAATCAAAAAGTTCAATTACCTGAAAGAATTTATGAATTGTTCTACTATTGTATTTTTGTAGCATATCCAACAGTGTTCTGACACACAAATTCCATCTTTGTATTGGTGTTTGAAATATGAATGTTATGCAAATAAGATAAAACAACAGATAAAAAAGATTAATATGAATATGTCTCTCTCTGAATTTCTGAGATTCAAAGTTATCTTTATTAACATCATTTACACTTTTTTCCACATCACAACATTATGGCTGTTGTGCCCTCTGACCTTTATCAAGTAATTATCAGCATACAGGTGACCTTCAAGGAATTTCAAGCTAAACCCTTTATATACACCCAAGGAAAATCGAAAACAGCAAAGCAACTTAGCTGATAGGTTTGTGTGAATAGATGGCAGAACAGGGACAAGGGGAGTTAGTAAAGAGTCAAATATTGCTTAGAGCTCAAAAAAAACAGGAAGATGTAGAGAGACATTATTACCCACATCTTGAAAGGAGATAGCATATAAATGATGATGATGATGATGATGATGTTGTTACAACCAATGTATTCTTAGATCATTTTTAATGTATGCTCTGACCAGTAATGTTTTAACAATACCTTTTATTCCATCCCTTTCTCAAAAGAAAAATATTTCTAATAAGGGATTTTCTTCAATGCTTGCTATATATAACATAAACCAGAAAATCATACCATTCTGCCATCCATTCACAGAAAAAAATGACCTTAGAATACATTGGTTGGAACATTATCATCATCATTTATATGCAGTGTCACTTTAGGATGTGGATGATCATGGCTCTCCACATCTTCCTGTCCTTTGTAACTCTAAGCAATATTTAACTCTTTACCAAGTCCCCTTTTCCCTGCTTTTCTATCCATCCTTAGAAACTCATGAGCTGAGTTGCTTTCTGTTTCCCTCTACTCTTCCTTCAGTAAACCCTGTGAGTATTAAATTTTCCAAGCTGTCCTTCCTCATAATGAGTCCCAGAAATATCAGCTGTCTTTTTTTCTGATTTTAAGTATGAGTGTCTTTCTAGTTCCCATTTTCTTTAGAACTTCCTCATTGCTCACATGTTCAGTCCATGATATTTTCAATAAGTATTCGTCTGTAAGGAATTTGTCTAGAATTCACTATCACATAAGAGTTTAGATAGCACTTCAGCACTGTTTTCTTTGTTTCTAATTAATCTTACATTTTAATACTTTACTTAGTTCCTAGAAGGCCTCTTTCTCTATACTGATCTGTCTTGTGATCATCTGTTATTAGTGTAATAATTAGAAGCTTTGAATAAGAAATCAGTGTGCCAAGTTTGAATTTGAGTTCAGTTCATGACATTCACTTTTGCACTGTCTTTTTTGTTTCCATTTTGCTTAAAGCTTCCTTATTTCTCACCTGATCAGTCCATGGCATTCTCAGTATCATTCTGTAGAACCACATTTCTGTTGCCTCAAGTCTCTTCATCTGTGGGAAGATTGTCCAGAATTTACTACCATGTAGGATGCCCAATATTATATAACAGTTCAGCACATTTTTATTTGTTTCTAATGAAATCTTCCAGTCACAGCAACCCACAATGTTAATATCTTGAAATAGTGACCAATAAACAAAGAAAAAGTCTGAATAATTCATTAAATGGGAAAATAAATCAAAGTTAGAACAGTTCTAAGAGTTGTCACCCTTGGCTCTGATTTGAAAGTCATTGCAGGTTTGTTTAGATTGTTTTTATATAACATCCAGTATTAAAAAGTCCCTTTCCATTGATGATAAGAATCTATACTCCATACCAACATGAATGAAACTGATTTCTTTATGAGATCTTGCATTATGTATGAAATGCTACAAAGTCTTGTTGGTACCTTTAAGACATTTCTGTGTCTTCACATTTTATCATTTCTAATTATTTTATTCATGTTTAGTTATGTATCTTTCTCAATCACGTCCACTTGGATTTTATTGACACAACACAAACAGTCTTCTTTAATACAAATATTTGAAACTGTTGTTCAACAGTCAATAGGCTTATAGATAAACCTGCTTACTTCCCTTCTGTATGGCAGTTATTTATTTCAGCCTCACTCTCTTTTTAGTGCTTTCTATCCAACCAAGTGAGAGAATTACTTCTTCTTTTCATTTTCAGTAAGGAATCACAATCATGTTTACTAAGCTTTGCCTTGTATGGCACAAGGTCAGATTACATGAAAAATAGAGTCAGAAAGATTATGCAATGTTAATCTTCCTAGTGGGAAGAACCTTCTTTTTTTTTATCATTTCACCCCATGCAAGGCAATAAAGCCTGTAAGATGCAAGGGGTTACTTAGTTTTAGAGAATATGAAAAAAATATACTATTAAGGAAAAAGGACAATAAAAGAACAAGAATTAAGAAGATATAAGATAATGATTGGCATTGTATTAAAATTTTGGAATATGAAAGTTGACTAAAAGCCAGAAGAGAGTTCTACAGATGAGAAGTGTGATAGAAGAAATGGTTACATTTCGCCATTTCAACTTTAAAACTTCTTTCCTCACTATGTGTTCCAGATATTTCAAGTGTCACTTTCTGATTCTATTTTCTTCTTTTATGTACCCTGTCCCTTCAGGACGTAAGTAATCATGGCTCTCCACATTTTCCTGTCCCTTGTTGCTCTTAATAAGTTTTGTGTTTTTGTTATTTCTCCCTAATCCTGTTCTGCCATCCATTTGTTCAAGCCCATTACGTATGTCACGCGTTGCTTTCCTGTGTCCTTCTTATTGCACTTTCTGAGCATAAATATCATTCCTTGTTCCAGTGTCTTTGACAAACCCACACTGTTCTTGTCCTATCTCTGGCCTGATTCTGCTGTGTGGTCTATTCATCAGAATATGGATGATGAGTTTTGTTTTGTGGCTCATTAGGCTGAATGTTCGGTGGAGTTCACATTCATTTGCACTTGGTTTCTTAGGCAGTGCTATAAAAATAGATCTACTTAGGTCTTCCGGTATATCACCACTGTTGTAGATTTCATCTATTATTTCTTTAATCTTATCTATGCTGAAATTGTGTAAGGCTGCCAGCATCTCTATTACAATTCCGTCTGGCCCTGCTGCTTTCTTTCTGTTCATTTTGGCCAGTGCAGCTTCCACTTTGGTTTTTAATACTTCTGGCCCATCAGTATTTCTGTGTATTGCCAGTTGTTTTCTTTCTCTGATATATTTGTTCCAGTGTTGAAGTATTTTTCTTTCTCTAATATCAGCATTCTGTCCTTGGATTTTATACAACCTGTTGATGAGCATGTCTTTTGTCCTTTTAGTTCTCTTATATTTTTTATGCATATCTCCTTTATCTGTGATACTCATTCTCTCTATTTCTGCACACTTTTGTTGGGCCATTCTTCTTTAGTGTGTCTGCATTTGTTCCTTATTGCATTGTGTAGTTTTCTATATTCCGTGCCATATCTTGGTATTGTTTTCTGTCACGTTTTCATCATGTTGAGAATCTCATTTATGATCTATTCATTTCTTTGTCGTCCATTTTTCTTTGGATGATGTTGTTTGCTGATGTCACTAAAGCTTCTCTTAGTGTGTCCTGTTTCAAGTTTTCATTTCCATTTTGTCCCTCGTATCGTCATTTCACATTGTCCATACATTTTACCTTCTGGTTTGGTCATTCAGGAGTCTGTTGTATTGCATTTTGGGTGCTGCGTTAGGCTACTTCAGTTTCCGTAGTTTCATTCTTAGCTTACATATAACAGGGAGGTGGTCGCATACATAGTCGGCATTTTGATAGATGTTGCAGTGAACAACTGCATTCCCAAATTTCTTGTTGATAGTTATGTTATCGCTTTAGCTTTTAGTTTCTCCTCCTGGGGTTCCCCATGTCCATAATTTCTTGGTTTCTGTTCAATTTGGCCAGTGCAGCTTCCACTTCGGTTTTTAATATTTCCAGTCTGTTGATATTTCTGTGTATTGCCAATTGCTCTCTTTCTTCCTGGAAGAGTTCTCCAATATATTCATTTCAGCACTGAAGAATTTTTCCTTCTCCAATATTAGTGTTCCGTTGTTGGATTTTATGCAGCCTGTTGATGAACATGTCTTTTGTCTTGTTAGTTCTCTTATTTTTTATGCATGTCTCCTTTGTCTGTGATATTCATTCCCTCTATTTCTGTACATTTTTCACTGAGCAATTCTTTTTAGCCTATCAGCATTTGTTCCTTATTTCCTTGTGTAGTTTTCTGTATACCATTCTATGTCTTGGCATTATATTTCCTTTGCATCATCCCAGAATTCTTTATTTTTGGTCAAACTCCTGATATGAACATGCCGATCTTCAAATGGGCTAATTTAGTCACTTTCAAATGTTTTGTTTCAATTTGTTAATATTTTTTTATTCTAACTATAAGTATTCTTTTGCATCCACTTCTATTGAAATTTCTCATTGC